ATTCCGCGATAACCAGTGCATCGCATCATCATTCACTCGAAACCTAACAAACACTTACCATGAAATTGATAGACAAAATTTAATTATTTTTAACTGTCAAAATTGAGTGGGTACGATTGAACCTACATTTATCTATTATAGGCTGCAACTAACTCTCTTGGTCCACTAGTAATGTACATAAATAATATGTACATTAGGGTGATCCAAAAATGCATGTGAAAAAGTAATGTCGGAATTTTTATGCCCACCCCAAAGGATTGTTCTATATCGAAAAAATATACCCCTATTTTACAACGCTTTTATCAACTTGCAATGTTGTGTGTCCAGACACCATCTTTGCTGTAAAACCTTTGCTTTGAAAAGTTCCTATAAAAATTCTAATGCATAGGGCGACATCCACCTCTACAGTTGAGACGTAGATGTCGCCCTATGCCCTACGTACGCTACAGCGGAAATGGACAACACGCCAATTCTTTAAATCTGCAATGGTCAGAGAGAGCTTTTACTCTGCATGCGCCTATAAAAAAATTTATAGAAAGCTTAAAAGAGCTTTGCCTGCGGGCAAGGTAGTGCCCAGCATTGCTTTAAATGAAATTAATTGGTGCTCGTATGTATGTACATACATATGCACGATTGAGAGAATACAAGGGTTGCGCCGATCTCGAACCGCTATTCCTCTCTTAACGAATTTGACAGAATCGTTGTTTGCGTGACGTCACACTGGTGCAACTTGTTTACGTATTCCTTGCAACATTTTTGCTTCTTCTTCCATTCTTGCTCACGTTTTGGCATTTCTCTCTCGCAATTGCACCAGTGTGACGTCACACAAAAGTTATTCTCAAAAATCCTCTCTGATCGGCGCAATCTTGTATTCTATCATTCTTGATACATATGCATATGCATGTGTGTGCATCAATCTATTAATATCGTTGAATTATTTTAATATCTATTGCAAAATTGTGTACAGAAAATACTAACAAGTAGAAAATAAATAATATAATAAAAAACTGTTTAATTTACGTGGTTTTATAAATGGACTACAAAGTAACTTTTGATTTTGAAATTTTAGAAAAAGTCATTATAAACAATTTATGAGATTGAAAATGAAAAGCGTGGGGCGCATGCATATGGGTAATATATTAGCAGCAAGAGCTGGTACCGCCCGAAAATATTACAGTACAGATATATCAATAAAACCGTACAAAAGAAAAGGAACACATACATACACTGAGGGAAATAATGCATAGTAAAAATTAATACTTTATATTTGATTATCGTTTAAAAATGTTCGTATTTACACTGTTCACATCTGAGTATATATATGAGTGCACAAGCATGCAGAGCGCCGCTCTGAGAGCGATGACAACACACACATCCATACATAGTACATGTTTATACGTACAAATCGCGTGCTGTGGTGTTGATGGATATTCAACATTTGAAAGCAAATTTATATGTGTGGGTGTAGCTGAGTGCGCAAAGATGCTTGCCAGAAGTTGTTGATATCCGGAGATGGTCAGGTTCGAATTCCACTGCAGGCAACNCACTGTTCACATCTGAGTATATATATGAGTGCACAAGCATGCAGAGCGCCGCTCTGAGAGCGATGACAACACACACATCCATACATAGTACATGTTTATACGTACAAATCGCGTGCTGTGGTGTTGATGGATATTCAACATTTGAAAGCAAATTTATATGTGTGGGTGTAGCTGAGTGCGCAAAGATGCTTGCCAGAAGTTGTTGATATCCGGAGATGGTCAGGTTCGAATTCCACTGCAGGCAACATCAAAAGTAATTTTTTTTTTTAGTTTTTCTCTTGATTATTCACTTCACGGATGCTTTTTCAGTACGAACGCGGCCATTTTAATATAAGCGTAATTGAATTGAATATTTACCAATCTACAGTACTTTCGTTGACGTTTATGGTAAGACCAATTACGTTTCTATTTGATTTTAATATTTTTCCCCCTCAGTGTACGTTTATAAATAAACATATACACAACACATACACAAAAACGGCACTCACGTTCACAATACATACAAGGGATGTTGCGAATATTTACATTCGCATTCGTTATGCGAATGACTCGCATCATTTTACACATTCGCATTCGACATTCGCATTCGCATCAAACGATACGAGTGTTTTGCGAATGCGAATGTGTACATGGGCAGAGTGTCCACTCTAATGTTGTTGAAATGGCTTTAAGTCTGTCTAACCAGGGTGCGGGCAATAATCGGCTTTTAGCTTCAGGCGCTAAACGGTTAAGTAGTATATCAAGCAACATTGATGGGCCTTTAACAAGTACTGCTGAAAGTCGTATAAGCAACTTAGAAATAATTTTAGATTCCTCCAGCGCAAGCAAAGGCTCGGATGTAAAATCTGGAGACATTAAAAAACGTGAAATAAAATTGGAGGCCTATCTTAAGGAAAAACAGGCTCATCTCAGTGAAAATCCTCTCGATTGGAGACATTAAAAAATGTGAAATAAAATTGGAGGCCTATCTTAAGGAAAAACAGGCTCATCTCAGTGAAAATCCTCTCGATTGGAGACATTAAAAAATGTGAAATAAAATTGGAGGCCTATCTTAAGGAAAAACAGGCTCATCTCAGTGAAAATCCTCTCGATTGGAGACATTAAAAAATGTGAAATAAAATTGGAGGCCTATCTTAAGGAAAAACAGGCTCATCTCAGTGAAAATCCTCTCGATTGGTGGAAAACTAAACAAAAATACGACAAATTGACAAAGTTATAAAAACAATGACTTAACATTTGCATTTGGATTCTTCTCTTCTTATTTTTTGGCGCTGTAACCGCCTAAACGATTTTGGCCGAGTTCAGCAAAGCACGCCAGTCGTTTCTGCTCTGTGCCAACTGACGCCAAGTGAAGCCAAGTCCTTCTCCACCTGATCTTTCCATCGCAGTTGTGGCCTCCCTCTTCCTCTGCTACCACCAGCGGGTTCCGAGATGAATACTTTCAGAGCTCCATTTTGCATCTGCATTTGCATTCGCATTCCGAAAATTCGCGAATGTGAAAAATATGGCATTCGAAACATCCCTAATACATACACAAAAACTGCCTCGTTTTGATTTCGGAATGCTTACACATTGGGAAGTTAGCTTACTGCCAATATAGAAGTATTACATACATGGGCGCATGTAATAGACTTAAATTGATATGAAAAGTATTATATGTGTGTACCTACATATGTATGTGGGTATATGAATAACGGTCGCTTAAAATGGATCTCAAATTTTGTACAACGCTTTTATCAATGTGCAATAGGAGTGTACTCGTACGCCCAACTATCTAAAGTTTTAGAAAACTTTTACTGGTTTTGCGTTCTCGTACCCAAAAAACTTGCAAAGTAGGGGAAATTGAGAGAGCAAAATGTGAAAGAGAGCTGCAAATTTCTGCTGGAAAAATTTTTCCCAGCTAAAACTTGCAAGTCAGAAAATCAGCTGATCACAAACGCATGTTTGTAAATAAACAAAAGAAAATATGGCCTTTTTGAGTTATTTATTGCAAATTTTATTATTAATGCATACAGCTAAAAAGTGCATAAATTTAATAAGCACAACCTTTGTTGAGTTTATTTTTCGTTAATTTGCTATTAATCTCCAGTTTGTTTACTTTAGTGTGTGCTGACTATTTTTGCTGTATGGCATTTTTCGTTTGTACCATAATTTTCCTTTAAATATACCAAAATAGATTTAAATGAAGCATGCTGAAATGTTTTTTTTTTTCTGAAGTTTTCGGTTTTGGTAGGTTGATTGTTGAAATGAAAATTTTATAATTTTAAACCTACTCTATAACATTTTTTTGGATCAATGATGGGTGTTTGGAGGAGATACTCTTGTTTTTAATGCGTCACCATGTGATATCACAAATAATTATGAGAAAAATAACTTATTCATTCCGGTATAATTAATTTGTATTTTGAAAAGGTTTTTCTTATCGAAAACTATTCAATTGTATAAAATTCCAAATCGGGGGAAAATGTACCAAACAGAAAATAAATTGCCAAATTAATCACCAGTGGCAACTGTGCAAGTGATCAGCTGTTTCGAAGGTTGCAAGTTTTTGCAAATTTTGCGTTCTCGTACTTCTGTTGATATTTCGTCTCTTTAAGAGCGAATTCTGCTAAATTCTCAGAACTTTTGCTGCTGGAGAATTTTGTCCTCTCAATACGGGTACACACCTAATGTTGTGTGTCCAGACAGCTATAAAAGCTGTGTTCGGAAGGTTCCTATTAGGTCTAGATATCAACCTCGTTGGTTCGAGAGGCAGATGTCGCCCTTTGCACTACGTACGCTACAGCGGAAATGTACAACACCCCATTTCTTTAAATGAAATTAATTGGTGCTCGTATGTATGTACATACATACACACATACTTATGTATATGCATGTGTGTGCACCAATCTATTAATATCGTTGAATTATTTTAATATCTATTGCAAAATTGTATACAGACAAGACTAAAAAGTAGAAAATAAATAATATAAAACGAACTTTTTAATATACAACGCTTTTATAAATGGACTAAAATGTAGAAAATAATACATAATTCTCAGACCCATAGAATTTGTTTTGATAACTTTTGATTTGATACATACGAGCACCAATTAATTTCATTTAAAGAAATGGGGTGTTGTACATTTCCGCTGTAGCGTACGTAGTGCAAAGGGCGACATCTGCCTCTCGAACCAGTCGTTATTCCCATATAAAATATATAGAAAACTTTGAGCGTTTTGAGCGACCTCTAAATATCTTTTGATTGCAAAATAAAAAAGATATGGTTATATTTTTTCGATATAGAAAAATCCTAGAGGGTGAAAGCATCAAAATTCCGACTAATTTTGAGTCACCCTAATGTGCACACGTCTCCGAGTGGACACTCCATAACATAATTTTTTTTATTTATTTATCTACATACATGCAATATGTTCGTACTAAGTACGAATATAAATAAATTACTTCTAGGCGATGCTGAACTTAGTTTGCTCATGGCGACTAACCAGTGCAATTGCCAGTTGTGTTTAAGAAGCGATAATGAGCGCATTGAAAAATAAACTTGTAACGAGATTGATTCTTGTTTGTTTGCTGGTCAGCTTGGACTCCTGTTGGGCAAAAGTGAGTTTATATGTTTGATATTGAATAAAGTACAATAAATAAAAAATATGGTAAAATAAAATAAGGAATTAAAATGAAAAATAACTAGAACTAAGTGAAATTATCATTGATTTGATTTAAATACAAAAATTAAATTGTATTAAAGTGCAATATACACATATATACATACTAGGGATGTTAATTTTTCGGCTTTTCCGATTCCGGGATTTTCGGGATGGCGTTGTCACAATCCCGAAATTAGTCCCGGAATTTGGATATTCATTACTTTTCAACAACTTGAATCGAAAAAATTGCTTCTATATTTTTTGAGAAGCTCTCCTACCATGAAATAAATAATAATAAATGGGTTTGAAACCAACTTTTTTATTTAAAGTGGCGTTTTTATTTTTTTTCTCTGACCGCAGGATTTATTTTGAAGGACTCTGTAATTTATAAGATATTATTAATACCATAAATTGTTAAAAAAAAATCAATGCAATGTAGAATAAAAATATTTAGAATTTAAAAAATTAAAATTTTTTGGATTCACAAGGACGAATAGGTAATTTTTAATCTGACAAAGTTAGAAGAACGTAACTCGGGGATGTTATCGAGTTTATATAAGCCCTTAACATATAATTTTTTCAAAAACAAATGAATGGTCGCCGCGAATAACGTTGTAAGCGACATAATTTTCAGGAATGGAAAAAAAACGTCTTTGACAACGCACATAATCATTTGATTTAGTTTTCCATTTTTCGGTACAGCAGTCTCCAAGAGACTTGCCCGTGAATTAAAATTTATATCCATATATCGCACACCGTCTTTAAAAGAGTCGGAGCTCAAAATTTTGAATTTTTGAGATTATGCGCTAAAAATTTTCACAGAGCGTTTATTTACCTTTCAGCAAAACCTGGAGCAAATTTTTGTATACAATTTGTTACAAAAAACCTAAGGTAAAGTCGCCCTTGCCCATATAATTATCATGTGCTAAGAAAATAGTTTTTCGCCTTTTCTGACAAACGTATTATTTTGAGTTGTGACTCTTTTGAAGACGGTGTGCGATATATCTTTCAAGTCAAAAAAAGATTTATAAAATTTTAATGATGGAAAAACGCTTTATATCCAAATCCCAATGGATGATAACACGTTTTTCCAGTAAGCCTAACATCTTTGCTGGTGGCGCTTACAACCTTTTTCGACAAATGAATGTAATAAATGTAACAATAAGGTTTCTTTGATTGTTCATCATAGGTCATTTTATAAAAAATGGAGAAATGCTTTTGAATAGTCTCCAATATGAAGCTTGACCTGTGAAGAGAACAAGCGCACTTGAAGCGCAATTTGGGGAATAAAAAACCAAAATTGATATTAACACAGCTCCTTCACTTACAACGTTTTTCCACATGGCCGTTTCTGGTAATTTTTTATCATACCCTTTCCCATTTCTTCCTGAATATTCTTCCCCACTATTTATTAGCCTCTNTTTTATAAAAAATGGAGAAATGCTTTTGAATAGTCTCCAATATGAAGCTTGACCTGTGAAGAGAACAAGCGCACTTGAAGCGCAATTTGGGGAATAAAAAACCAAAATTGATATTAACACAGCTCCTTCACTTACAACGTTTTTCCACATGGCCGTTTCTGGTAATTTTTTATCATACCCTTTCCCATTTCTTCCTGAATATTCTTCCCCACTATTTATTAGCCTCTTATTTTTCATATCATTCCATTTTTCGAAATGTACTTTACGTGTTTTACCATTATTGCACATTTGCATTACGCTGGTTAATTCTAAATTGGCCATGGTCACCTGCACTTAAAACGTTTTTCCACTCACTACTTACGTTGGAGCGTAGGTTAATGTCCGAAAACTGATGGAAAATGAGAAATTTCGCGACCTTATGATACGCGAGAGTATTTTTAACGGTAATCTGCGAAAAAACTAGTTTTGAGTAAATTGGCGCTTAAAACGTTATTCGATAAAATTTTAAAATGACAATTTCAATATTTACCAGCCCTTCTGCACCAGAAACTTGAACCTGTTTAAATTCTACAGGATTTCCGCATTAATTTCATACCCATACTTCTTCTCTAAGCACATTTCTCTGAATTTTTTAAAATCATTTTTAAATTACTGACGTCAGAGTGAAAAACTAAAAACGCAATTTCACTATATTTGGCCCATGGTTTCGCGAATATATTGATAGTTGTGTTTAAAATTTACTATCGCGCGGTGTTGTATGTCTAATGAGCTAGACATTAATAAAAAAAGAATATAGGCAATACTGGCCAAGAAAAGGAGTTTATATTATTGTCATCGGTGCAAATTACAAATCTCGAAAATCCCGTGATTACTCGCCAAGAATCCCGGGATTTTCGAGACCTTAAAAAGTCCGGGATCCCGGGATTAACATTCCTAATACATACATATGTACATATGCATGTAAATATGTAAGTGCGTACGTAAGCAAAAATTAATATTCTTCTCGAATGCCATTTTTAGCACTCAAACCGCACCTTCACTATAGACCATGAAGCTAATACTTTTTTAATGGATGGCAAACCGTTTCGTTATGTCTCAGGGTCGTTTCACTATTTTCGCGCTTTGCCACAGGTATGGGAAGAACGCTTAAAAACAATGCAGGCGGCAGGCTTAAATGCCATAGATACGTGAGTACTAGAATTAAATATTTATTTATTGTTGTATGTACTTTTGTTTACAAGTTTGATGAACTGGACTTCAATTGGAATTATGATATTGAACAGTTGATAAAGATTATTAATGCAACGATGTGTATGGAAATAACCACATCTATACCTATCTATGAATATATAAAATGAGTGGGATGGAATTAAGACCGCGTGAATTAAGGCCGCCTTCATATTTCTTCGGCGGCCTAATTTCAAAGCAGCAAAAAACACGATTACCACAGAAGCTAGAATGGAATCGAATTAGGCGAAGAGAATCGCTTATATTTTCTCTTCAAGAAGGCACTATTTTAACGTAGGCATGTCATTGGCTGTAAGGCCTTACCCGAAGAATTACCTACGAACGAAAGCAGAACGCATGGATAAACAGAATCCAGAGAAGCGAACAAAGAATGCCTTACAGAGAAACTAATGAGGAATACCTAGATCGGCTCTCTCTACACTACCGGTAGTTAGAGCCAATTTGCAGGATGACTTTTCACCCTGGGTGGAAAGTCATGCGTGTCGAGCTTGTAGGCAAGAAGTGTAGCGAAGTCAGCGGGGTAGGCAAGCACGCACGGTGAGCGAAATCGAGGGGTTTTTTTGACGTTTCGCTTTTATCGAGTTGACTTTTTCGTATTTTTGCTTTGAGTTCGCGATTCGCTCCGCTTTAAAAAAAGAGGACGAAAGAGTTGACCAAAGAAAATTTGACGCTTACATGTCAAAAATACACAAGAAACGCCGCAAAGAAAAAGTCATCGTGTAAATGCACGAGGATTTTCGAAGACTTTTTTAAAAGGTAACGTGCCAAAAACGCAGGGTGAAAAGTCGTTGTGTTAATTGGCTCTTACTAAAATAGTCACTTGCGCCCTCTTTCATAGTTTTTCAATATTCTGCTTCTGACTGGTTCGACTCTGCACTACCATGTGTACTACCACGGGTTAATAGAGTAGCTACTTACCTAGGAGTCAGTTCAGTAGCGGTTCAAAAGTAGCGATTGACTCCAACAGTACTGGAGGAATCTTACTTAAAAATCGGTATGTACATACAAACATTTTTAATTAAACTTAAAATTGTACTTCCTCACTCATCAAAGCAAAACATGATTTTTATTCGATGGAATTTCCCACAGAAAGTAACGGTAGAAAAGAATTTTTGGTTATTCATTAGGGGTATTCACGATCCGATGTACACCGTCTAGCATGGTGCATTGATAGCATAAATAGCATCATTGTTGTTGTTTCATGTGTTCAAACCATGCTAGGCAGTATGCATCGGATCGTGAAAACCCCTATTCTATTTTTCAGCTGGTGTACCTTGCATTCCCCATAATGAACCAAAGCAGCGAAATTAATAAAATATTGTCGAATATTCTGCTATGCATTACCGGCAATACCTAAAAGAAGCGAACAAATTAGAAGACATTATAAGGCAATGCGTTCTAGAACACGTTATCACTAAAAGCGATTACCGATTTTTTGGTGAGCAGCGATAGCCGGAATTGCACTGATAAGGGTTATTTTTTCTAAGAGTGGCCGAAGGCCGCCAATGGGGAAAGATTTTCTTCGTAAAAATACTGTGGATGGCGTAACCCGAGTCTACATTTTTTTGCCTAAATGCCAATTTAACGCCATTGTCTAAAAAGGGGTCAGAAAGGATAAGGGCAACTTTTCTTAAAGTTTGGATAGTTCTCTTACTAGGTTTTATGGTATTTTAAAATTTTGCAGGTGATGTTTTTTCGCTGTACAGGTGAATTTTACGAAAACGACTTAGTGTCTTTCACAGCGGCGACGACTGTATTAAAATTGTTTTGGAAGGTAATAGGTGTTTTTACAATGCTTTTATCATCTTGCAATTTTGTGTGTCCAGACACCATTTTTGCTATAAAACATTTACTATGCAAAGTTCCTATACAAAATCTAGTGCATAAGGCGACATCTACCTCTACGGTTGGGAGGTAGATGGCGCCCTATGCACTACGTACGCTACATTACGCCATTTCTTTAAATCAACGTTGGGGAGAGAGCTTTTACTCTGCATGCGCCTATAAAAAAATTTATAGAAAGCTTAAAAGAGCTTTGCCCGCGGGCAAGTCAGTGCCCAGCAGTGCTTTAAATGAAATTAATTGGTGCTCGTATGTATGTACATACATATGCATATGCATGTATGTGCATCAATCGATTAATATCGTTGAATTATTTTAATATCTATTGCAAAATTTTATACAGACAATACTAACAAGTAGAAAATAAATAAAATAAAAAAACTTTTTAATATGCGCGGTTTTATAAATGGACTGGATGGAAAAAGTAACTTTTGATTTTGAAATTTTAGGAAAAATCATTATAAACAATCTGTGAGACTGAAAATGAAGTGTGGGGCGCATGCGTATATGTAATACTCCTAAAAAGGCAGTAAGAGCTAGTACCGTCCGAAAATATTACAGTACAGATATATCAATAAAAGCGTACAAAAGAAAAGGAACACATACGTTTATAAATAAAAATATACACAACACATACAGAATAAGAAAAATAAAAATATGCCTTATAAAATATAATGAAAACCTCCGCCAGTTTGTTTCGCACTTCACTTAAGGCTTTCTATTTCATCGTTAATCTTTGTACAATCTATAAAGCACAGGGAAAGTTTTGCCCAGGATCGTGTTGCACGCTGAGTTTCCAANAGCGTACAAAAGAAAAGGAACACATACGTTTATAAATAAAAATATACACAACACATACAGAATAAGAAAAATAAAAATATGCCTTATAAAATATAATGAAAACCTCCGCCAGTTTGTTTCGCACTTCACTTAAGGCTTTCTATTTCATCGTTAATCTTTGTACAATCTATAAAGCACAGGGAAAGTTTTGCCCAGGATCGTGTTGCACGCTGAGTTTCCAATTCCTCTGAAAGAGAACAATAAACCCCCTGCAGCGCAGTGGTTCAAAACTGGCAATTAGTGTTCGTAATTCACTGGAGCCTTCATTTTTCACTTAATTTGATTATTTTTTTTTTTATGAAAGCTTACAATATTTTCAAGAGACCAGTTGAGCCTGATTTGTGAATTTTTATTTGATTATATTAATTTGTTTAGTGCAAAATGCAGAAAAAGTAGCAATTTTGAAGAAAATGTATGCAAAAACTAGTTGAAAACAATTGTATGGTTTTCCCAAAATGAAAAAGCTACACAAAAAAATTTTAATGTTACAAAAAATGTTCATCAACATAAATATTTTTTTTTTGTTTTAATAAAAATTGGTTGAAAAATTAAGGCTCCGGTGAATTATGGACATTCAATTGCAATTTTGAACCACTGTGTGCTGGCTTTGCCGTGCAGTATGAATTTTGGTAAACGCATTTGGTAGCAAAGGATGGCGAAGTCCTTGTAAAGGATTTGGCTTCATTTTTCGCTACATCAGGGGAACTTGTACAATAATATAATTAACTGGTAAATATTTGATTTAAATTACGATATGGGTAAGGTAATTTTATCATACAAGTTGTATGTACGTATTCCCAAATCATTTTGAAAAAAAGTCCTTTATTTTACGATGGTTAATATGGTCACCGTAGACATAGTCGTCGCTTCTGTGGTTTCCAAAGAAATTATTGCATAGCACTACAAAACACTTCCATGCACGTTGTTCTAATGAGCTTACCTTATTCAAAAAGTTCACTTCGCTCATAATTTTACGAATTTGAGGTCCTATGAAAATACCTAACATTCATAAAAGGGGATAAAACCGATGAAAAAGTACTAGACGAGAGAATAAAAAATTAATACCTCCTTTTATTTTGGCTTAACTTAACTGTGGGAACCCCACTTAAAGATGACAAAAAGCGCTGCTATTTACAACCAATTTTTATATAATTAGAGGTATTCTTGGAGTCTTGCAAAGCCCTTGCACGGTGCATGAATTGCACGAAAAAAAGACCGGTTTTCTTATGGGACAGCTATGCAAACCGTGCAATCCGTACTCCGTTCAAGGGCATTGCAAGACTGTGAGAATACCCCTATATATTCAAATATCCTTGGTTTAAATGAAGTGGTGGCAGGACAACATTTTCAGCTTTAACCAATGGGACGTTTAGAACGGCCTATTTAATGCGGCTCTCGGGATGGCCATACTTTGCGATCATAGGAAACGTTAAATTAAAAACAAAACTGTCAAGCAAAAATTTTTGAGTTCTATAGCCAAAAATAATATTTTTGAAAAAAAAATTTGTTTTCATAAAAAATGTAATAACTCAGTAAACTTTCATTAGATTTTTGAAAACAAACACTCGTTTTTTCGCTATTAAATTTAATTTTACAATGAATATAGGACTAGTGGTGTTGTTATAAAATTTAAAAAGGCGAAAAAAGTTGAAAAAACATGTTTTTGCTGGGTAAATACTGTGTGTATTATCTTAAGGTTTCTTTATTCACATATATATCGTTCATAAGGTCCAAGTTTCTTCTTTTTAAACCCAGCAAAAAACCGAAATTCGGTTCATAATGAACTAAGTTACAGGCTTATAAGTGAGCAAGAGTACGAAAACCCGGTTTTTTAACGGTAAATTAAGATTTTGGGGGTGTTTGGTAAATTTCATATTTCGATTCTTGTTTTACTCGTATACCTACCAGAATACATAACTTCCCACGTATTTTTTAGTGTCGCACAGTGTAATCATCAACAATTTAAACTTTTGAATCAGATTTTTTAGAGTTTTTTGAGTATCGAGGTAAGATTTTTAAAATTTGAACGACAAAGCAAAAAATAAAACAATTTTTTAAAATGCTAAAAAGAAAAATGAGTTGCGCATTTGGGAGCTGCAAAAATACAAAATACCACTGCAAGGAAGACGGTACAACATTTTCTAAATTTACAGCGCTGCGCTTCCTTTTGTGAATTTGATATTTAAATCTAAAGTTAAAAGAGAACAAAACTAAATATGAAGCTGAGAAATATTACATCTTAATGGGTTTGTTGAAT